TTCCCACTCTGGCTTCTGAAGTCCTGTGATGTCACTTCTGCCTCATCCTCTTCATTGAGGAGATCACAAAGGCCCACCAAGTTTCAACAGGAGGGGAGGCAGACTCCACCTCTTGGTGAGAGGTTTGCGGAGAACCTGCAAATGCCATGCATCCAGGATGGCCGAGCTGCCATCTTGCTTAGCGATGGAGGTGGCTTGGAGGGCACCTCAGACCCCTTTGCTTATGCCGTAGGTTTAGAGGCAACAGGAAAAATAACTAAGAATAGAAACCTTGGGGAGGGATGCTCTACTTAGAAGGAGGACGTACTTCAAATTACAAGGAAAATGAGCTAGAATTCTGTTTATATTTGTGAGGGGAATTGTACCCATGTAACAAATATGTCTTGTACGTGTGTGTCAGCAATTTTAAAAGAAAAATCATAGCATTGATTTAATTAATTAAGCATTGGTGTGTGTGACATCCCAGGACTGGGGAAGGGGAGAAAACTATAGCAGAGATTTCCGGCACTTTTACTGTACTGCTACAGGTTCCTCCAAGCTACTTGCAAAATAAAGTGAATGTGCTGGATTGTTAAAAAAAAATACCAAATGTGTCATATATAACCCTGAAATGGAGAGAGAAGAAAACAGTTAAGAGGGAAGGAGAACGAAGAGACCAATAATAGAACATCAGTTCCCACAGGATTGTGGGTCCTCGCATTTGGTTGTACGGAGCAGCCTGCAGGGTGGGCGCTGAGAGAAAGTGGCTGAGAGCATAGGCTCTGGAGCGAGCCCCACTGCCAGGTTCTGGCCGCAGCTCAGCGTCCCCAGCTGTGTGAGGGCCGGGCCCTGTAGGTGCCTCTCTGTGCTTTTCCTCCATTGCAGCGAGGAGCTAATGGTGGTACCTGCCTCATCCACGTGTTTGGAGGATTGTGTCAGGTGTTTAGGAAGCACTCAGTAAACAGCCATTTCTCTCATCACCAACTCCCTCCTTGCCTTGGCCAGATGCAAATATCATGCCCGATTTGGACTGGGGGCAACCGACCGAGGGAACAGAAGGAGGAGGGCCTTCTCTCCCCTGGGTCCTGCGTCCTGCGAGCATCGGAATTCTAGGTAGGAAGAGGCCTTCACGGACATCTGGGCTCCCATCAGCCTACGGGTTTCCACCCCCCACCACCACTTGTTCTTATTCCAACATGCTTTAAAAATTGGTTCCACACTTAAAGCACGTCAAGCTAGATTCGAGTTTTAGTCTCTCTTATATATTTGGAATTAGAACCTCCAGAGGCCGTTATGTAAATCAATGCAAATGGCATGCAAAAAGGCCCCAGCCCCCGGATTGTGGGGCACAGAGTGAGCAGGGCAGCACAAAGGGCCTGGGATGAAACCTTGCCTCTGTTGAGGGGTTGAAGGCCCGGCGAGGCTACTGTGACAGTATGCTGCCCTGTGCATTCTGCAGTTGACCTTCGGTGCACCTGAGGAGAGGTGGACTCTGGTCTGATTTCCACCCTGAAGGTGACAGTGGAGGCCGAAGGTGTTTGGGCAGTGCCACTACTTCATAGCAACTTTCATGATGCAAATGAAAGTTGCTTTGAAATAACAGCTATGATGCAGACTGTCTCCAGCCAGCTGTGTGTTCTTGGGCAAGTGACTACACGCCTCCTCTGCCCCCTCTGTGAATGAGGGGTTGCACTGAGTTACCTCTAGGGCCCTTACACAGTAACAGCTAAATGTCTTCCTCCAGGTGAAAACCCTTTGCAGCCAGGATGGCAGGATCAGTTCATTGACCCAAAGGGTTATTCTAAAATCTAAAGAAGAAATAGCTAAGAGGTTGTTTAACAGTTCTCCTGGAGAGAAAAATACCTTTAGGGTGTGCAAAGGCAAACAGACTTGCTTACAGCAGCGAGAGGGGCTCAGTCGTGCACCTGCTCGCTGGGAGGGTTCTGGCCCCCGGGGATGCTCCTGGTGGGAGAGTTGGGCACTTCTTCCCCTGCTTATTATAAAGCACCCTCCGCCTCTGGAGTGCTGCGAAAGTCCTGGAGGCCAGGGTTGCTCCTGTCCCACCCAGGCCCATCACTGGGGTCACTTGGGGGCTCTCTGAAAGCTTGGAACTGCCCTTCCCACTGCCACAACATTGAGGTGCCCTTGGTCTCCAGTCTCTGGTTGTACCGAACACATCTGGTGCTTCACCCCAGGAGTTCTCTGGCCCTTACCTTTAACACCAGCTGCCATGGCAGCCACCCACTGGGGGCAGGTGTCACCAGAGGGCCCCTCTCTGACTCAGCCCCATGAGAGGAAGTGACATGTCAGGGACACCCACAGAGCACCTGTGGGTCAGCAGGGATGGGAGCTGCCAGGTAAGGGCTCATCTTCCGTGGATGATTTGGGGTGCATCTGCCTGACCCCTCCAGACGTCCCCAATGAATTTGCGTTGCCCACTCTAATCAGCTCATAACTCGCCCTTGGATTGGTTTTCTGTGTTTCACTCATCACAGCCCAGACCCCCATCACTGTCTCCTCAGATCACTTCCCAAAATAAACTGCCTACACACAAGCCGCTGTCTCCACCTCTCTTTTGGGGGGGAGTTGGGCAGGGGGTCTCTAATGTAAGTCATCTAGGCTACCATACAAAGTTGCCTAGACAGGGAGCTTCAACAACAGAAGTTTGCTTTCTCAAAGTTCTGGAGGCTAAAAGTCCAAGGTCAAGATGCTGACCATATTGGTTTCTGATAAGGCCTCTCCCTTGGCTGCCGAGCTGCCCTCTCGCCGTGTCCTGCTCAGGAATCCGAGTGCAGGTGTGTCTGCAGGCCCTACCGTTGTGGTAAGGGCCTGGTCAGGTTGGGTCAGGGCCCACCGTCCTGGCTCATTTTGTCATAATCACCTCTTCATAGGCTCTGGCTCCAAACACAGTCACACTCTGAGGTACCTGGGGTTAGGGCCCCCACATATGAACCTGGGGGTGCCCAGTTGGGTTCACAGCAACGCTTATATCAAACCAAGGCGCTCAGGAGCCAAACAGAGGCTTATAATGGAATGTCCCTCAAAATATCAGAAGTCTCGATACCAGTTCTTAGACTGTCCCTCTGGTTTAAGCAGCAAGGGAGAGGCTGAACGACCCTGAATGAGGCGGGGCATAGCGGTGCCTTGTCTCTTCTGTGGGTGCAGCTCCGCACCCTCTTCTTCCTCTTTCTGCAGCATCAGAGATGTTCAACCAGGAAAAGTGTGCGTTTGGATACAGCCTGGTTTCATGTACTTCCAATGCTGTGGGGCTCTGAACGTGTCGCTTAATCTCCCTGAGCCTCAGTTTTCTACTCCTTCCTGTGGCTGGAAGGATTAAGTCAAGTGTGAGAGACTGGGCTGGAGCGGGTGCTCAGTAAACAGTTTTAGGGTGTATTTGAGTGAGTGGAGCACACTGTTGATGCATGGGCTGGATCACAAATGAAAGCTTAGAAAACGTAGGTTGTTTAGGGCAAATTGTCAGTCCAAGAGATCATGGGTACTACAGTCTCTGTTGGATCAACTGTCCCTCAGCACCCCCAACCCCTTAATTCACAAGTGCAGGGTGAGGGGGTACCGGTCCACTCCAGAACCCCACCCCACACCTAAGCTGGAGGCGGCCCCAGTGGTGATCCTGGGCCTTGCTTCAAAGGCATGCCAGGAGACGGTTGCCCCCTCTCTGCTTCCTGGAAGCTCACCAGGGCCCCTGCCTTCTCCTGACTGTCCCAGACCCCCAGGGCCCCAGTTCTAGCCATCAGTCCTGCTGGACCGTGAGCAGGGAGGGAGGCTCCAAGAGAGTGACAGGACAGGGACAGATCTCTGCTATGCTGTAGCCGGGGTGGCTGGCAGGGCTGGAGCAGGGGCAGGCAGCAGCCACAGCGGAGAAATAGTTCCCAGTCCGAATGAGGCCCTGGGGGCCGCTCCTCAGCAGGGCATGCCCGCTCTTTTTAGGCCCTGTGCTGCGCAGGGGTGGCCTGTCTCCCAGTCTGTAGTCTGAACAGACCCCGTGTCCCACATTTATGTGAGGCGTTGTTTTGAAAGACAGGCACCACTGTCATGGTTAGGAAAGTCCACACATATCTAGAATTGTTTTTAAATTTGTTTTCCTTGTACATTTTATGAATGAACTACAAGAATACTACTGACCTTTGGGCAAAATCCATGACTTTCTTTTAATGCTCAAAAGGGCTGCTCCTGTGCAAAAGGTCTGGGCATCAGCAGTGGTGTCCCAGAGTTCAGCGCCGTAGAGAAGGCAGCAGGCACCGACAACAGCCACAAAGCCAGCTGACCTTCCTGGGACACCCCCTCCGGGCTCTGCTCAGTGCCTCACAGGCACCTGGTCTGGTCGCCCTCTTCTGACCCCTGTCCCCTGTGTCTGTCAGTCTCCAGTGGCACTGGGACCTCTCTCCTAGTTGTAGGATTGTTCGTGGATTTGTGCGAGCAAGCTCAGGGACAGAGACTGCCCTGCCGTTTTGGGGCCCTGCTGGGTCCAAGAGAGGGCAGACCCTCCTTAATTGTCAGGTGGGCATGAATGAACAGAGGTCTGTCCGTTTGTTCTTTTGAGAAAAGACATGGGAGCCGGCCAGCTCTGCCCACCTAAGCCTCCCTCATCTGAGCTGCCGGCTTCCCGCTGGTCAAGCTGGCCTTGACCCCACCCTGGCTGCCGAGGGCCAGCAGGCACTCGGAGACCACACGCTACCTCCCATCCCCAGCCCCAGCCTGTTTGGAGAAGTTGCCTTGGGCAGAAGGCTGGTGGCATTTGGGAAAGGCTGGGCCTGGTCACTTTAGCTGCCCCTGGTTCCCCGGGGCTGGTTATCCTCCCGGCAGAGCTGGTGAACACCTACCTAACGGACCTGCCGAACTCCACGAGTCTGCATCTGATGCGGGCCGGGGGGCAGCTCGGACCTCAGGAGCGCTCCCGATGTCCCCCCGAGTCCCTGCACCTCACAGGCTTGCAGGGCAGGGAGGCCCAGGTGCCGAGCCACTGCCTGGGTGTTCACCTCTTCTCCCTGTCTCCCTCTCAGGCTTCCTCCTGACCTTGGCCCTGACTGAAGCACCGGTATTTGCTGCCCAGGAACCATCTCCCAGGGAGTCTCTTCAGGTCCTGCCTTCAGGCACCATGGTGACAGCACCGCTCAGCTCTGCCAGACACTCCTCCCAGACGGCTGCCCCCATCTCCGTGGTGACGCCAAGCCCCCATCCTAACGGGTCCTTCTCACGGGCTGAGGCCCCCGTGGCAACAACACCACCCTATCCAGATGGACACCCTCCTGCAAACACCTTCTCCACCACTTTGGCGACAGCAGCCACCCGTCATGCTGAAGGCCCCCCCACCACAGGGCCCCTTCCTCCTGCCATGGCAACCACATCCTCCCACTCAGAGCGCCACCCCCTGGGGGAGGCTGGGCCCACCATCCTGCTGACAAAGCCGACTGGAGCCACCACCCGCCCCGCCACTGCGCCCCCCCAGGCCAGCACCCGCAGGCCCCCCAGGCCCCCAGGCTCTTCCCGAAAGGGGGCTGGTAGTTCTTCACGCTCTGTCCTGCCTGCGCTCGGTGGCCACTCCGGAAGAAAGGAGGGCCAGCAGGGAAGAAACCAGAGCTCCACATATCTGGGGCAGAAGCCGTCCCTGGGGAAAATCTTTCACTTCTACAAAGGCAACTTCACAGGCTCGGTGGAGCCCGAGCCCCCCAGCCTCACCCCCCAGAGCCTGCTCTGGGACTTCTCCTCCTCGCCACAGACCCAGGCAGCGACCACAACCAGGGCGCCCGGCAGGACCTTATGGGCGCCAAGCACCGCCCCCTCGGTGCGCACGGAAGACAAGCCCGGCCTTAGCAGAGCTGACCAGGGGGGTGGCCCCACCTTCACCAGCCAAGGGGGGGCACCAGGGGCCACAGCAGCCTCAGGTGCCCCTGCCAGTCCGCAACCCACCCCAGTGCCTTCTCAGCGCCCCCGTGCTGACCCACGCGGCGGCACCGGCCACAGTGACTCCTGGCTGGCTGTCACCCCTGGAACCAACAGACCTCTGTCTGCCAGCTCTGGGGCCTTCATGGCCGCCACGGGGTCCACCCAGGCTGCCTTCGATGCCAGTGTCTCAGCCCCTTCCGAGGGCATTCCTCAGGGAGCATCCTCCACAACACCCTCAGCCCCGCGGGCCCCGGCCCGCCCCCCCGGGGTCTCAGAAAGCACTGTTTCCCCAACTGAGGAGGAGGCCGTGGCCACCCCCACCGTGACCAACAGGGTACCCAGTCCTCTCTCCACAGTCATGTCCACGGCCACAGGGAACTTCCTCAACCGCCTGGTCCCTGCAGGCACCTGGAAGCCTGGAACAGCAGGGAACATCTCCCACGTGGCCGAAGAGAACAAACCCCAGCACAGAGCCACCATCTGCCTGAGCAAGATGGACATCGCCTGGGTGATCCTGGCCATCAGCGTGCCCATCTCCTCCTGCTGTGAGTGCCCGCCCTCTCCCGTGCCCCCTCCCCAGTCCCACCTGTCCCTGGGTGGTGTGAGCCGCACAGTGTGGACCTCACCTCTGTCTTTTGCTGCCACTGGTATTGGCAGAGAAAGACTCTCCCCAGGTGACCAGCGCCTCCTCGCTGCTGCCTATCACTCCTTTAGTGAGGAGTCGACAGGCAGGCTCCCTGATGTCTCCATAAAGATCCTGACATAATCCCTCGGCACCTCTGGGTGCCGTTTATGTCTTGCCCAGGTACCTGACCCCAGACTCTTCGAATGTCCCCGATAACTTCACAGGAAGCCTCACTGATCTCAGCCTCAGCCCGCCCCCACGCAGTTACCACCCAGCTTCGCTCCGAGGCTGTGCTCCTCACTCACTGGACAGCCCATCCGCCCTCCGGGGGTTACCCAGCTCTCCTGGGGGCCCGACATTGGCCTCCTTGTAGTGTTTCCTCTCCGGTCCCAGGCCGTGCCCTCCGAAGCTGCGCAAAGCCAGTCAGTGTGCCAGCCCCCGAGAGGTTGGCAGTGGCTCCCTCACGGTCAGCCTCCTCTTTTTCCGAGCTGCTTGTCCCTGTGCCTGCAAGTCTCTCCACAGGACTGCATGGCACTGGCCTGCCCCCTGCCCCCTGGGTGGTCTCCAGTTTATCGTTGCTCTTAGAAGGGACAGGACAGTGCTGCCCATTCACCCCATTCAGGCAGCACACACTGGCGTCAGCTCTGTTGGCTGTACGTACAGACTGCCGCATCCCACCATGGGCTCACCCAGGCCTTTAGAGGGATGACACCCAGAAACTTCACAGGGCGTGTGAACATCGGGCAGGAGGTGCACGCCTTTATGAGAACATGGTCTCTGCTTGGCACTGTACTCCCACAAGACCTTGTTGATCTGGATCCTGGATCCTTTCCAGGAGCCGCCCCTCGCAGCTTTCTGTCTCCTAGTGGAGAAGCAGCGCAGACCTTCCACGTCGAGGGTGCGGCCTGCTTCTGCCCCGGACCTGGTTCAAGGGCAAGTGCAAAAGCTTGCAGTTGCCTCTTTTCTTGTTTCATTAGGCAGCTCTGTTGTCTGTCCTGGAAACACACACATACTCGTAAAACTGTGGTTGCCCACTTCTAAAGCAGAAGAGTGATAATGAGAAAATATTGCACTATTAGCCAGTAAATAATTGATAATGGTCATATTGGAGAAGTGACCACATGAGAGACAGTGTTCTAACTTTCCACTCTTTCTGAGTGTCTAGAGGCTTTCATTCACAGAGTGAGTTCCCATGATTTTTAATCATTCCAACCTTAAAACAGACAAGCCAGAGGAATAAAATAAAAGAAAGAAACAAGTAAATACGCTGTGCAAAGAACATACCTTAAAGGGGGGGGGAGTAAATCACCAGGTAAAGTGACTTGCCCGGGGCCCCAGTCACGGAAGCGTCAGTCCGGATCTGGTGGCAGGGTGTCTGACTGCGCACGGCTCCTCCTGGGTGCCCACTGTTACCAGGCACTGTGCCAAGCGCCAGGGAATCAGAGGCCGAGATGAGGCTCCCCCACTCCCAGAGCCCTCTGCCCCCGGGCTTCCTCTTCCCCTGGCCTTGATGGCACAGAGTGGATCTAGCCTTTGCCCCCTACAGGCCACACGTGGGTTTTGCAATTCTAAAAACACCACTCCAGCCCTTTTGCTGCATATGAGTGTGAGATCAGGTCAGATCTTACTGCAAAGCCAGAAAACCCACTGGCTGCCCAGGCCATGCACGATAATGTCAGCCAGGACCAAAGCAAGGACACGGCCTGGGCCTGCGTCTGGAGAAGGCTCCTGGCAGTGACAGCCTTCGTAAAGGATGATATAAACTGTTGGTCAAAGTGGACTCTTGCAGCTCCTGGGAACCTGCACTTCCACCCTTCTCAGGCCCCGAGGCTCCTGCCTCAGCCCTGGCTGCCTCCACACACAGCTCCCTGTCCTGTGCCTGGCCCCGGCCTCTGTACAGCCGTCATTAACCCTGTGAAGGCCCAGAGGAGAGGAACATTGAGACAATACCTGTGCGGCTGCAGAACACTGTGCCCTTCCAAAGCCCGGGAGCCAGTACACAGTCTGTTTACAGAGCCCTGCCCCACTCTGGTCCTCAGAGGGGCAGACGTACCTCTTCCAGGTCTGAGGGCCCCAGTCACACCTTCTTGGCAATGACTCATATTCTAAAGCTCACTCTGGAGTCCTCAAAGAAGGGTCCCCCCCCCTTCGCCTTTTTGCCATATAGTTCAGCCAGCCCAGATGGTAGCAAAGTACATGTATAGATTTTCTCACATGTGGCTTTTCAGACAGGCCCTGGCCCTGCTTTTCTCCATCCACCAGAAGCCAGACCTCAGATGGCCAGGGCTGCGGCAGGCAGGTGCTCCGGCAGAAGCAGGGGGTGGTCGTGGCAACCGTCAGGCCTGCCCAGATGGGGATCATCGGTTCCTCCTGCCCTCCGGGTCGTGAGCCCCGCCCAGCGGCCTGAGGGCAGATGTGCCAGGACGGAGGAATGCTTTGTCTCTGGAGCCAGGCCTGGGACAGCCGTACATGCAGGGTTTCAGATGGCTGAGGAGCCAGATGGATTGGATCCAGGCCCCATTTGGCTGGGCCAGGGGAGCCATGTGGCTCCTGAGCTGGTCTCTGCTGCCACCAACAGGACGCTCAGAGCCCACCGCCTCCCGCTGGAGCCTCTGGGCCTGGCCGGGAATCGCTGACCATCCCTCCCCAGTGTCAGTGCCCTGGGCTCTCACCAGGCTTCCAGGCCACACCCAGTCTTGAGAATGTCTTCTCCCAGCCTCCGGAGAACACAGGGGCTTTATGGAAGGTGAGAACGGGAAGCCGGGCCAGTGTGCCTGTCTTCGTCACCAGTCCACAAGGAGCCGGGCCAAAGCAGAGCAGCAGGCTTCCTCCCACGCGTGAGGCAAGCGTCCCCGGAGCGTCAGTGCAGCATTCAGAGAGATGCCACATCCTGTGCACAGCGCGGCTCGGCTCTGTCAGCTGCTCTGTGAATGGTTGAATCTGAGTGTCTGTGTGGCCGTTTACTCATAGGTCCAAGGTGACTGTAACTGTATAAGAAAACCTGGGCCGGAATTACTCTTTCAGTGAACAAAATATGAGAGACTGGGACCAGAAGGATTTGTAAACCAAAGGATTGTCTCCCTGGGGCTTATGAACCAGTTGAAGGAGGGGCAGGAGCCGCGGTAGGACAAGGCAGGCTGTCCAGGGTGAGCCACCTCGGCCGCACCAGGGTCATTCGTGCCCAGACTCTCTCAGCTCATCCCTGTGCTTCCCACACAGCGCCCCCTGGTGGGGGGCCTTAGGCTTCTTCAGGCACGTTCCGACTGGCCGGGGTGGGGAGTCAGAGAGTAGGTCGGCAGACCCGGATCCCCAGGCCCATGGCCTGGTGCCGCCTTCTGTACGGAGCCCCCCACTCTGGACCTCCTCCCTCACCCTCCAAGGAGGGCCGTGATTGCCCCCAGCCTGGCTCTCGACCCATCCTTCCCACAAGGGACTCGGGTCACTCATGAACAAAATGAAGGGGCCACCCGGAAGAATGTCAGGGCTCCCTGTTCTCACTAACTTTTCCTCACTTTCAGCTTGTGTGGGTCATCAGAGAGGAAGCCTGGTGCGACAGGAAGACTTGGCTTGGGGACCAGACACACCCGGTTGTTGTGCCTGTGCTCTTGCTTATAACCTGAGAGACTCGGCCAGGTTACTTAACCATCGACCCAGTGCCTTCTCACCTGTAGGAACAGGGCCAGTGTTCACTGTGTTAGTTCGGGCCCCTTAGGAGGCAGACACCGAGACAGGGTTAGGCCTGGGGGAGGTTTACTGGGGAAACGCCTGTGATACGGTGAAGGAAGGGGCTGGAGAAGGCAGGGAGGGCCTCTGGCTGCAGTGCAAGCCTGACGCCTGAGAAAGCCGGGGGCGGGGGGGGGGGGGGGGCACTGGGCAGGAAGAGCCTTGGACTGCAGTGCAGCTTTAAGGAGGTTTCTGATGGGCCATCAGGGGCGTCCCCTGCCCTGCAGGAGCAGACCTGCACTGGTGCCCCTGCTACCATCAGTCGCAGACAAAAGCAGCGCGGCCTTGGCCCAGACACCGTGCTGAGTCTGGAGAGTGGCGGCCAGGGCTGTCCCTGAGCCGTGCTTCCCACGGCAGGAGGTCTGAGCAAAGCATCTTCGTGGCCGCAGTGCCCACTCCGAAGCCCTGCTTGAACGCCAGAGACGATGCTGTGGAGAAGTCACTCAGTAAATGGCGGTGGTCATGTAGCCATTGCTTTGTCCATCTTACTGTTGTGAGGGTTTGCTGTGCATGCTCCACAGGCCATGGAGGGGGTGCTTTCAGCAGGTGTTTGGAAAGGTTGAATCCTCGGGGAGCCTGGAGGATTTCATTTCCATTTCCTGTCACACAGTGAGTCCACCCCAGAGTCACGGCTCTCCCAGAAACGTCGGCACAGGCCCCAGGGCTCCATCTTCGGGTCAGTAGCCCTCCTCCTCCTTCCCGCCTCCCATCTGACCGGTCACGGATGGGTCCCCATGGACATGCTGAGGAAGCAGAGAACCTGCCTAACCCTCACTCCTGTTTTACAACTTGAGGGAACAGAGATCTCCTTGACCCCCTGTGGAGTCTTGGTGGCTGTCACCTTCAGAGAAACAGAGCAGCTGAAGCACTAAATCAGACCGGGGGCGGCTCACACCTTGTGTCTGCCTAGAGCTGTACAGGTGACGAAGTGCCTCGCGTGACTAAGGCACATTCCCTCCAGTGTTCTGGACAATATGGGAGAGCGGGCGTGAGCCCAGGGGTCACAGACACTGGGATCAGGTTCCAGTAATTAGCTGGGTGAGCAGGGTTGTTTTTGTTAACGTCCATGAGCCTCTCCTGTAAATGGGAAGCGTAACAGTCCCTGGCTCAGATGGTCCCTCTGTGGGTTAAATTAGACTGTGAGACGCCAAGGTCGGCACAGGGAATGTGTCAGAGACTCTAAGTCTGGGTGGTACTTTTCTTTCTTGGACAGAAGGTCGGCTCACTGAAGTAAGGACAGTCCTAAGCCAGGGGTGCAGCCTTGGCCTGGCGCCAGCCAAACAGTCACGCAGCCTGGTTCCTTTCCAGGTCTCTCTTGTGGGGGATGCTGGGAGGAGAAGAAGACCCTCATTATTAAGCACCTGTTGTGCACAGCATGCTAATAAGCATTTCGCGTTTGCGCCTAACTTCTCTTACACGCCTGTGAAGTCCATAGCAGTCAGTTTGATGAAGTGACTTTCTTTACCTAGTGTAACGCCTGGCGGAGGCAGACTTGGACCCAGGTCTTCTGGACTCCAAGCCTCTGCTCTTTCTATGGCCAAACCTGCTTTCACTATGTCAGTGAAATGGCCCTGGAGAGGCACTGAGAACTTCTGGGAGAAATGCAGGCGGGACGACAGCACTAATAACACGTGAGGGAAGAAGAGCTGGGAACAGAACTCCCTGTTCCCACCCTCGGGCCGTCCCACGAGAGTGCCAGCCCTCCCCCCAGGACCCTGGCCCTGTGTCCTACACGGACCCAGAACTGGGGGCCAGGGCAGAGGGGACTTGGAGAGAGCACAGGCCTGGGGGGGGGGGGAGGAGGGGTGGGGGGAGGGGTGGGGCCTGGGTTCTGCCACCCGTGCCAGCCTGGGTTCCCAGTCCGTGGTTTTGTTGCATCTAAGCCCTTTATGGCTGCTGTTTCGCCAGCTCAAACGCCCCAGGATATTTCTTTACCACAGTTCCAGGCACAGGGTGGAAAGGTAGTTATGACGAAGAATGAAGATACCAAATATGGGGAGAGGGGCCTGGGGACTTGGGCCAGTCTTGCCATTCACACCTGTGACCCGTGGTGAGTGTACCAGGTGCTCTGGACCGCAGTGTCCTCGTCTGCAGAGTGAGGAGGGGCCCCAAGTCGGGCAGGGCTCTGCTGCTGCCCCACCCCCACCCCCTTCACCAGGGAAGGAAGGCTCTTCAGAAGGAGGGGACACTCACAAAATTTCAGAAGTCTCTACCAGCCAGTCTAAAATTCCTTATAGCTCAAACATTCAGAAACTTCCTTTATATGTCTAAAACTTTTTAAGGAGACCTGGGACAACGGTGAGCAAATTAATCTTTTGATGAAAGCACATTGGATGAAATGGAAACTTGCCAGGTCCCTTGACTTTGTCTGGAGGAGGCCCGCTAAGGCGCAGATGCCCACTGGGAAGAGAGCTGCAGAATCCCTCCTTCAGGGAGAGTCACTCCCACAGAGGCCTGGGGTGTGGGCCCCGAAGTCTCAGCCTGTGCGGGGCCAGCTTTTGCAGCCACCGGACAGCCAACAGCAGGCGTGCAGAGGGCCCCGGTGCTGGCCACACAGGCTGCTGTGGACGGGGTGGCCCTCTGCTGCCCCCTGGTGGCCATTGCCATCAGGGTGCCAGCCTCTGTAGACAGCGCAGCTTGGGACCCTCTCCCCCGAGCACAGGTGGGTGGCACCTCCAGGGTGTGGGATGCTGCCCTGCCCACCCCTGGTCTGGCGTTCCAGCCACCCTACAGGCTCTGGTGGTGGCAGCCTGGACAGGAGACGCCCAGTCTTCAGTTACTGGCTTCTCCCTGAGGGCTCCTGCCACCCTTGTCATTGCATCCCCACTGTGTGAGTCCAGACAGGCCTTCCCTGTTGGCCCAGGTCACTCTGTCCACACCTGGCTCATCAGCAACATCCAAACGTGCCTTCCTCCCCGATCGGGCCCCTCTGGGCCGTGCGGACTGCTGCCTCGGCCTTCAGCACGCTGGTGCAAGGCAGAGCCCTGCAGGGTCAACGGGACAGACTTTGGAGTCCAGGCGATGTCGGGGTTTGTTCCCAGCCAAGCCACTTCACCTCTCTGCGCTCAGTTTTCCTGTCTGTAATATGGGGACCCCAATAGTGTTGAATTCGTGGAGTTAAGTCAGGGATTAAATGAATTCATATTTATAAAGTGCTTGGAACCCTGCCTGGCACATACACTACGTAACTGTCAGTGGCTTCTTTTTATGATGGTGATACTGATGATGATGCCAGAGCAGCTTTCGCATCAGGCCCAAGACCTCTGCCCAGGATCCTGCTCCGTGAGCCTCTGCCTTCCAGGCTGAGTATGGGAACCAGGGCTCACTGGGCTCTGCCCCTCTCTCTGCCCCCGACCACTCACCAGTCCAGCGGGGCCGCTCAGCTCACGTGCCATTCTCTGCCAGCAAGCTCCCATCCCACCAAATGAACATGGCCTTGCCTTGAAGCAGACACCGGGGGCAGCACCTCGCTGCCCACAGATCACTGAAATCACAGGGGGCCTGTGGACACAGCCCCTGAACGCCACTCTGGCCTCATCCTCTACCTCACTCCTGCACACTTGCCCCACCCCCCAGCCTTGCTGCTCCTTCCTCATAGCAAGCTTGTCCCCACCTCGGGCCCTCTGCACCTGCTGTGTCCTCCACCTGGAGCATACCGCCCCCATTCGGCACAAGACTAGCTCCTCCCTACTCTGAGCTCCAAGGTCACCTGCTCAGGGAGGCCTTCTGTGATGGCTCTCTCTCCCCCAGCTCACCTCCCTTGCCCCCCCACTTCGGGCTGTTCTGTTTTCCCTGAACAGCTATCACTAGCTGAACTACCCTCTTCATTCATTGTGTCTGATAGGGACATACTGTTTGACGCCCCCTGCACACCGCCCCCCCAGACACACACTAGAGGGGAAGCTTGTGAAGGCAGGGCAGGCTTGTCTGTCTTTCACCCCAGCACCTGACACAAGGCACTCAGCATAGACAGGAATCTGTTGGACAAACAAGCAAATGAGTGAAGGGGGTAAGTGGCTCAATGTATGACATCGCAGCTGCTCCTGGAGAGCGGCAACTGTCGCTCGGGAATGCGGACTCCGTGCTGGTCACTTCCCTGCCCCTCTAACCTGGGCTCTCTCCGCAGCCGTCTTGCTGACAGTGTGCTGCCTGAGGAGGAAGAAGAAGACGGCCAACCCGGAGAACAACCTGAGCTACTGGAACAACGCCATTACCATGGACTACTTCAACAAGCACGCGGTGGAGCTACCTAGGGAGATCCAGTCCCTCGAAACCTCGGAGGTAACGGGCCCCAAACCTGGGGTGCCCCCTGGACGGGCTGGCCCCGCTGCCGGCAAGACCACGGGCTTCGAGGAGAACAGGGGCGCGTCTGCTCACCTCCTCAGAGCCTGGTCCCCCGGCAGGCAGCCGGCAGCAGTGCACCCAGGGGGCTGCAGGCCCCGCCCCACCTTACCGGGTCTCTACCCAGTCAGGGTCTGTACCCAGTCAGGGTCTGTACCCAGTCAGGGTCTGTACCCAGTCAGGGTCTGTACCCAGTCAGGATCTGTACCCAGTCAGGGTCTGTACCCAATCAGGGTCTGTACCCAGTCAGGCTCTGTACCCAGTCAGGATCTGTACCCAGTCAGGGTCTGTACCCAGTCAGGGTCTGTACCCAGTCAGGGTCTGTACCCAGTCAGGGTCTGTACCCAGTCAGGGTCTGTACCCAGTCAGGGTCTGTACCCAGTCAGGATCTGTACCCAGTCAGGGTCTGTACCCAATCAGGGTCTGTACCCAGTCAGGGTCTGTACCCAGTCAGGGTCTGTACCCAGTCAGGGTCTGTACCCAGTCAGGGTCTGTACCCAGTCAGGGTCTGTACCCAGTCAGGGTCTGTACCCAGTCAGGGTCTGTACCCAGTCAGGGTCTGTACCCAGTCAGGGTCTGTACCCAGTCAGGGTCTGTACCCAGTCAGGCTCTGTACCCAGTCAGGGTCTGTACCCAGTCAGGGTCTGTACCCAGTCAGGCTCTGTACCCAGTCAGGGTCTGTACCCAGTCAGGATCTGTACCCAATCAGGCTCTGTACCCAATCAGGCTCTGTACCCAGTCAGGGTCTGTACCCAGTCAGGGTCTGTACCCAGTCAGGGTCTGTGCCCAGTCAGGGTTTGTACCCAGTCAGGCTCTGTACCCAGTCAGGGTCTGTACCCAGTCAGGCTCTGTACCCAACCAGGATCTGCGTTGTAGTAAGACTCCCCGGGGGCTTTATACAGTGTTCAAGTTTTGGAATCACTGTTCTTGGGACTTTGAGTTTCCAGGAACAACAAATACCCACTAAGGGCCCATTTTGTGGCAGGAACCTTGGGGACTGTGAGGGTGAGAGTTTGCTCTTGGGGCCCCGGGTTCCAAGGTGGGGTTGGGGTGTCAGAACCAAAAGAAACTAGGGAGATCCATGGAGAGTTACAGAGAGCCGCGGGAACCCAGAGGAGAGTCTTCACAGCGGAGGTGCCAGGAAGGATAAGTGGATCTCACAGGTGTCCCAACAGAGGCAGCAGCCTGGGCAAAGGCGGGCATGTGTGTAAGGTGCGGCCGAAGGAAGCGTTTGCCCGGAACACCCATCTGGCCGGCGAGAGAGCTGGGCTGCGCACGCAGGTCCCTTTGGCCTCAGAGTCCGTGCTCTGCCCTCTTGCAGGGAAGGTGGGCGGGGCCCGGGGAGGCGGGAGTGGCAGGTGGACGGGCACAGCCTCCAGTGCCGCTGAATGGGCTGAGTCTTGGCAGCCGAGGCTCACTGGAAGCTTCGGGCTTCGCATGACCGAGTTTTAGGAAGATCGTGCTGATGGCCTGGTGAAGGCTCTCTATTCATGACCAGCGAGTGGATAGGAAGGGTGGTTTAACGGATGGGCGAGTGGACGGGAGGACAGCGAGACTGACTAGAAACGAGTGGAGCCACTGGGCTGCGGCGACGGGGGTGGCCCGGGAGCAGGCGTCTGAGGAATGTCAGTGAGAGCTGAGAAGAGGCGTTGTCCTGGGAAACACTGCCTTCCTCCCCACAGCTTTCTCCCCACAGCAGCCAGGCCGAGCTTTTCTAAACATGTATGCGATCACCACCAGTCCCACGCTCAGAACCCGTCCGTGGCTTCCCGTTGCTCCGAAAGGGGAGGTGTCCTCAGGGCCTGCCAGGCGCACCCGCCCGCCCGACTTCCCAGCCCGGGGCCGGCCCCGCCCTTCTCATTGCTAAGATGCCCTGGGCCTCTCCGCAGCCTTTATCGCACCAAGTTACGTCCACCCCGGGGCTGCGCGCGGGCGCTTCCCTCTCCTGGCTCGTCTTCTGAGCATCGCCTCCTCCGGGAGGCCCGCCCTGACTTGCCAGGCTGGGCTTGGCTCCCCGGTCGTGTTGCCCCAGCTCTGTACACTTTTCCATCACAGCAGGTAGCAGGGTTGTGACCGTATCTCTCTCCCACACTGGGACAGCGGGTCACCTCCGCACTGCTAAGCCCAGGGTCAGTTCTGAGCATCCTCCTAGCTGAACTGCTAGCAGCATCAGCACAGTGGCTTCCTCCTTAAAATGACTCCTCGCTGGCCTCTGGGCCCCACCCCGTCCTGGCTCTTCACCACCTCCCAGCAGCTGCCCCTTGTCCTCTCACAGCCTCGAGTCCCCTCCCACTGCTTCTCTTTCTACTTTGTTTCAAGACTTAAATGCTGTCTCTGCCCTCTGGGCCACCGGTTCCTATCTCTGGCCTCAACATGCCTCCCCACCCCCACCCTAACTCCAGACTCACAAACCCAGCTCCTGCCTGTCAAATGGGCACCTCAAAGTCATGACACCCAAGACTGAACTCTTGGTTTCCCCGTCCCACCTAAATGCCCGGAAGCTCAATGCCAGCGCCTGGCCTCCCACACCCACGTCCAGTCCATCAGCACAAGCTGTTCCTCCTCCCCATGCCCTTGGTCGCCCCTCCACCCCCGCCCGGGCTGCCATCGTCCTCCCAATCCTGGACTGTGGCAGCAGCTTCTGAGCATGGAGGCCCCACGGCCGTCTCACCTCTAGCAGTCTGTGCCCCGCACAGTAGCTGGGTGACCCCTGCAAAGCAGGCCCTCTGTCAGCCGTGGCTCCCAGCCCCCGAATGGCACCTCCACGGGCGGGCCTCTGCCTGCCTCCCCGAGTCCCTCCTGCCAGACTTCCCACACTCGAGCCTTTGCAACCTTTCTGCTCTTCTCCGAAGTGCTGAACTTACCCCACCCTGGAGCTTTGCTCTTGCACAGATCTGAACTGCTCTGACCTGAAATGCTCTACTACAGGCTGCCTCCTCCCTCGCTTCCTGCAGGTCTCCCGTTCCAATGTCACCTCCTCAGGGAGGCCTTCCCTGACTGCTCTACACAGATTAGAAGCCCAGGCTCCACGACCGTGGTTCTCCACTCCCTTCCCTGCCTGATTTTCCTTCAGGGCACTCCTTACCGTCTGCCATGGCATCATTCTGTCTGTCTGCTGGTTTGTAGTCTGTCTCCCCTGCTAGAATATAAGCTGCCTGAGGCAGGGGCCTGGTCCGTTGCGCCCTAGGCTCTATCACCAGCCCCCAGAGCAGGGCCCAGCACTGCTGGGTAGGTGCTCAGTAAATGTTTGTCACGTGAACAAACCACAGGTCTTGCTCATGCTTTACCCCCCCTTCCCCCAGCCCAAAGTGGATACTCAGTAAAAAATTTCACCTGAAGGACAGACAGAGGGATAGGCTTCCTGAAGGCACTGACGTGCGCATGGCCAGTGCACACTTGGTGTAGCAAAGGCCTGAGAACCGCTGTAGTAAGTGAAGATGGGGAACTGGGCAGAGGGGCTGGCCCCGCTCTGGGTGTGGGCTGCGGACCCCTGAACTCTAAATTTCTCATATTCTCTTTGCAAAATCGATCAATGAAAACCAAAGCCAGAGAACAGCACTTGTGAGTGCCCTGCAGAAAGGGCCAGATGGGCTCCCACTCGGGGACAAAGCCTGAGGCTCTGGTAGAGACCGGCCACCAGCTCAGGGTCAGAGTCAGAGCTCGAAGCCCAGCTCGGCCTCAGAGTGGATTCGATCTGCTTCCCTCCCAGCAGGGCTGTTCCCCGAATCTGCTTTATTTAGAGGGATGCCAGTTTCTCCAACTCTCCCGGCACACGTAAGCACCACAGATCACCCCCAGAGTGACCACACAGCCACGGGGCACAGTCCACTGCTATCTGCAGCCCCGGTACGTGCACTCACTGCCTGCCGTTCGGCTGGCAGCCTTGGAGGCGGCCAGGCGCTGAGTCTGAGCAGGTTCTCGGGCGCCAGCTCCCCTTCCCGGTGGGTGGGAGCAGCACACGCAAGTCTGGGCCGTGCGGGCAAAGTCATGATGCCCAAAAGGCTCCCGGAAACGTTTCCACACTTCCTTTCCCTCTTCCTTCCCTGTCTCTTTCTTACCTAAACTGTCTCCTGAATAACTTTCTCTTTTTCTCACACCGAGCAGTCCCCACGTGGTTCGCCAGGTGAACACCTGCTGCGTGAGAAATTAAAATGACAAGGCAGATCCCAGTGTCCCAAGTCCCCCCCACAGCTCGCGCCAAAAGCCCTGTGGAGAAGCATTCCTATCCCCTCCCTGACGTGCCACCCTGTGTCCGCCCCTCGGATGGGCGCTCAGCTGATCCCTAATGTTGAGGGAAATCCTTGTCTTCAGAGAAGACATTTTACCAACAGACAGCCTTTCTTCCTTTATCTCTTTCTTCTCCGTAAAGCAGTAAATACTGCTCAAAAATTGTATGTCTCACTTAAAAACAAACTTCGGAGAACTCACTGTGGCTTCTTAAAGAGACTGCATCTAAGCAAGTCTGTCCTCAACCAGTCACACCCGGGCCTGAGTCTGAGAACAGCCGTTCAGACGCCCCGGGCCCTGGATTGCCCATTTCTGGGCTTGTCCGCCCTGGGGCTGTGCCCACAGACTGAGTGGGTCACTCCCCACCTGCTGCACCGTCTCAGAGATGCAGAGCCGTTCACCTCCATCCCATCGGGTGCTGGCAGAAATGGGGCAGGGATTCCGACCAGGCTCTGGGAGGGTTGGTGGGGGAGGAATCAGCCCTGGGAGGCCGACCCGTGGGCGCCGTGGGCGTTGGGTATGCCAGGGAGGAGAAGCAGCAGGGTCTCCCAGAGGGTCCGTGAGCGGGGCGGGAAGGAGGTTCTGGGGCCCGAGTGGACCGGGCTGGCCTGTCACGGCTGTGCGCCACCCAGTCTGCGGGTCCGGCATGGCAGGCCCTCGACTTTGACGGGGAGACCACTACCATCGCCGCACACCCCAAGTGGGGTGATTCAGGCAGCAGGGACTGTTTTGGAAGCTGCTATAAAAATCTGAAAGAGCAGAGAGGGCTCTGCACCTCAGCATTGGCAGTGAAAAGGATGAGAACCGTTTGCGTCGCAATCACAAGTGTAAACAATTACCCAGCAGGTTCGTCTCTTTAAGGACGGCCACCTCGTGCCCTGGCTGTGTGGCGCGGTTGGTTGGAGCGTCTTCCTGTGCACCAGAAGGTTTCAGGTTCGATCCCCAGTAGGGACAGGTACGGGGAGGCAACTGATTTATATTTCTCTCCCACATCGATGTTTCCCTCTCTCTCTTCCTCCCTTCTTCTCTCTAAAATCAATAACTATATCCTCGGAGGAATTTTTTTAATTATTAAGAAAACGGCCCCCTCGGGAACCCAGGCAGCTCACGCCACCTCCTCCCTCTGTCTCCCCAGGACCAGCTCTCGGAGCCCCGCTCCCCGGCCAACGGCGACTACAGGGACACGGGCATGGTCCTCGTGAACCCCTTCTGCCAGGAGACCCTGTTTGTGGGGAGCGACCAGGTGTCCGAGATCTGACTGCAGCAGCCCTCGCTTTGCCGCCCCCTACCTTTTGTCTCTGAATCATAAACATACAAATATATATTATGAATATAATCTTTGTGTAACCCTGACTTAATGAGAAACACATCAGCTTTTTTTTCCCCCTAAGAATTGTCAACATCTTTTTTATAAGTGTGGTTTAAAAAAAAAAAACACTTTACAGAACGGTCCGTGGCTTTATAAAATAAAGGTGTTTCTAAGCAAAGCAGTTTGCATTGGTTGTTCTCTTAATAACTGTCCTTGAGCACTTGGGGGTCCCGGCAGCCCCCGGCAGGTGAGGGGGTGTCACATGCATGGCCCTTGAGTGATTCTTGAAGCTCAGGTTCCTCTTGATTTTGTGTGACCCCTGCCCCCACTCCCCACGCACACCGGTGAAAGGCCACCGGGGGCAGGAGGACGGCAGATCTCCACACTAACGCAGGAAAGGGGACAGGTCAACCCCCAGCGAGGAGCCCCCTAGGGCCTCACACCGGCACCATGACTGTCCAGGGTGATTCCGTCCGGGCAGCCGGGCAGGACCAGCAGCCCTCTGGAATCCGTGAAGGTCATCCGCGTCCTGAGGCCACGTCCCCTGACGTCACGCAGCAGGGACCTTGGCTGTGCTGACCACGGGACTGCCTTCCCCCGGTGAGGAAAGGCCCCGCTGCAAGCCCACGCGCGTGCTCTGCATCACCCGAGTCTGCACCCAACACCCGTGCCTTCCTCCGGAGAGGGTCCCACGCGGCCCCACTGCAGGCTTGAGGATGCTCGCCCTCCTCAAGGACCACGTGCTTACGGGAGTCCAGCTTCGCTTCCTCGAAAAGCCATCGGACTGTGTCCCTGAGGAACGTGTCGTGTAAGAAGCCTCCGAGTGTGGAGCTGCCGTTTTCTAAGTCGTCCTCTCTCGACCCCATAGAAATGGGATTGCCCAAGCAGCCACTCAGGAGAAGACTCGGGACGTCCTCTCCAGCACTGCAGACCCGCGTGGGGGTCAGCAAATGGACTCGCCACCCAGCTCTCATTCCCGGTGCCCCTTCACGGCGCCCGCCACCCAGGCTGCAACCCGCTGGGCTAGCAGGGGGTCAGACCCTCGGAGACAAGAGGGGCCCCCAGAGATGGCCGCTTCTCTGTTTGCTCCCCCGTAGGTAGTGGCCGGGACAGAGATACTGCTTTAACACTTCCTTTCTCTGAAATAAAAATAGTTTGATAGTATATATTTTGAATATAGATGTTCTTATAGTCAAACTGGGAATTGAACTTGAATGTTGATTCATATGTTTATGTTGTTGCTGTGGTCTTTTTACCATAACTTCTTTCTTCCCACATTTCCCTTTAAAAAAAAAAGATGGCCTTCCAAAACGTGTGTTCTCAGTGTTGTACAAACGTTCGTAACAGGAGTTCGCTGGTTGTCTCTCTCTAAACTCTGCCGACCACAGAGAAGCAGGTCCCGTGTTGCTCTGAGATTCACTTTCCAGTGTCTGGTTTTCCTCTTCATCGTAACCCTCCCGTTAGCCGTGGCATTTACCATGTCGACGTGTGTGTGTGTGTGTACGGGGAGAAATCTGTTTGTAAACTAAGATTTATATATAATATATGTAACAAAGGTACATATGTTATATATACCTACGTGGATGTATGACTTATTTTTCCTTATCGACAGAATTCAGCTACCATGTCTATATAAATAAACTTATTTTATTAGCCAGAAGATGAAGTTTGCTAATCCATTTTGCTTTCTTTTCATTGTGAAAATAACTCTCAAGTCTTCCTCTAGTGCAGACACCACCTAAGAGCCTCCTGTATTTTTTTTTTAATCTACTTTGATGGTTCAGGACATCTCCTGGGAACTGATGAGCTAAGAGGATTAGCAATTTACTATTTGATAAAACAAATCCTTTAAAACACGTTAGTGATTACTCCAAAAGGGAATCATCCCTCTTCAGGTCTCTGGACTCACTGGGGTCCAGCCCCCCCTGTCCCAGAACGCAGGGCTTCACTGTGCATAGCAGAGGGCCGGAGAAACCTGAGGTTAACCCGGCTGTGAGAGTTATCATTCTACAGAGGATGGCAGTATCCACGCAGCCTTTGCAGACAGCTCAGTAGCTTGAAGCCTTCACTTAGCCTTGAATGGTAGGCACATCCTGGAATTTGCTAGAACACAACTCATGGGGACCCAGACAGCGTCTCCTGTCTTAGTGTGTTGTGGTAACACAGGCCCCGGGGCTCCGGGGCCCCGTCTGAGTAAAAGAGGAACACCACCAGCCTTTACTCGATCGAGTTGCTTTCTTAATCTGTCAGTCATATAACCAACATGGATATTTATACAGTACGTGTCATCGAAAAAAGACAAAGTAGAAGGGAAAAGGAGTCATGGTGTCCTGATCGGCAAGGAAGAGCACAGAGCATTCCAGGAGGCGGCTGGGTTTTAAACTCTGCCCGTGTGCCCTGGGGTGGAGGCCTGCTCTTGACGGTGGGAGACGGGATAAGTCACTGGGTGAGGGGTCAGAGATGCCGTCTCATCCCAGCTCGGCTGCTTTCGGAACATGGGACCCAGGGAAAGTCACTGCAGCTGGCCGGGTCCTCATCACATAAGGGGACAATAACCAGTCGTAGGACACACAATGATATTTCTAGAGCTGTACCATGAGCAGACAAGTGGCAGGGCCTGTCAGCCTCCCCCCCCCCCCGAGGTTGCACCGAGAACTCAGTGCAACACGGTGCGGAAACCGTGCCAGGCACTGGGGAGGGCTCAGCACACCCTCGAAGGTGACACCCTGTCCCTACTCCCAGAGGGGTGTCCCTGCGTCGCAGGATCTGGAATAAATACCTGGCCTCCAGGTTTGGTTACTTGGTTTCTCCAGGGGAAAACTGGATGGCAGTGACTCGTAGGTCCATTCTGTCCCCTGGGGGCTGGAGGTCCTTTCCGAGCCCGGAGCCGTGCCGGCGAGCTTCAGTGGATCCTGGGGACAGGGATCAGAACCCAGGGAGTGGCATCAAGTCCCCACTTGGGGCGCCTTTACGGAGCTTACGGGAAACCGCCTCTCTCTGTTCCATTCATTCATTCTCTGGCAGGTGGGCAAACAGGTATATAGGGAACAGCTAGAGTGTAGTAAGTGCCCAGCATGCGTGGGACCTGGATTTGCCCAAGGCCCCTAGAGAGTCAGAGCCCAGGCCAGTGCCTGCAAAGTAAGGCCCAGAGAGGTGAAGCACTGTGGCCAAGATCACACAGCTAATGGCAGTTTTCTTAGGGGAAGAGGTGCTGGGGAGGGCCCTGAGGCTGTTGCCAGGACTGAGGGGGCATGAAGGAAGAGCAGGCTTGGTTTGCCTCTTGAGACCCTGGGGCTGCCTCCTGCCATGGTTGGTTTCCATCTGTTTCCATCCTGTTGCCTGTTGGAACCTGTGGGCACATCCACACCTTCACACACATGGCGCCTGTGAGGATGTAGGGAACCCTGAAAGTGGCCCTGGCTCAGCCACTCTCTGCACTTGGGATCTGAGCCTCAGTTTACCCTTGGAATCAGGACTGCTGCAGTGAATCATGGAGGAAAGGCTGCCTCGGATTTGGCGGCGTTGAGGAAGTGGGGCTGTGAAGTGGGACTGCCTAACGTCGGCCACGCCCTTTCTCAGGTACTGAAGTGCACAACCCCCCCACCCTCCCCCACCACCAGTAGAAAGCTCTGGGAGTTCAGGCACATGACCCTGCAGAGAATGTGCGAGCGCCTCTCTGCATGCTGCCCTGGACGGCCCGGTTCTCTCTCGGCTCAGTGAATGATGGAAGCTCATGGAAAACAGCAGACAAAGCTGGTACCGGGGAGCTTCCAGAGAGGCCCATGACCGGGCCACGGGGACGCTGGGGCTGGAAACCAAGAGCCACTGGACTCTGTAAAAGCACCAGGCTCAGCACAGGCAGAAGCAGCGATGAGCTCACGGCCGGTGGTGGTGGATGTGCCCACCAGCACCGGCATGTCCCTCCAGAGACACAGGGCATCCTTCAGGGGAACTCGGTCATTGTCCTCCCTGCATAGCCCCCAGGCCTCCAGGACCAGTGCCATAGGTGGCCTCGTCCGAGCCCCCAGGGTCTATGTAGGAATGGCGCCCAGTGGATACGCGGGCGGCCTGGTAGCCCGGGTGACCCGCCGAGCCATGGGCATCAGCAGCGTCTTTCTGCAGGGGCTGCAGAGCTCAGGCCTGGCCGTGGCACCCGCTCCGAGCCTGGAGAGGGACCTCGGAGCCGTCGAGGACCTGGGGGACTGCCTGGTGGAGTACATGGCCAAGGTGCATGCCCTGGAGCAAGCCATCCAGGACCTGGAGGCACAGCTGCGGATGCACCTGGAGAGCAAGGCCGGGAGCTGTGAGAAGTGGGGCGCCCTCAGGGCCTCCTGGGCCAGCAGCTGCCAGCAGGTGAGTGCCCGTCCCAAGGGCTCTGCAGAGGGGGAGGGGGGACGCTGGCCGCTGCCTGCTGCTCGTCTCTGGGAGGCCATTAGCCAAGAGCACACAGGCTGAGGTGGGGGCAGGGGGTCAGTGCTCTGAGGCCAGAGAAACTGACCATACCCGTGCCACACACAGGAATGACAGTAATAACAGCAGTGATGACTGCCGTTGACCGAGGTGTCCCAGGGGACACCACATGAGTCTCTCGACCGCAGTCTCCTCTAGTGTCTAGAGTGTGCTGTGCGGCCTGCCTCTGTGACCTTCATGTCAGGAAAGGGCATTCACAGCCACCCTCAAATGGAGTGACACTGAATGGATGTAACGCTAAAAACAAGGGACAAGTGACAATGGTCCTGTATCCATCCGTCCTCACACTGTCCAACAGAAACACAAGCCACAGAGATAATGTCCAAGTTTCTATTGCCCACAGTAAGAAAAAGAAGTAAAAAGAAACAGGTGATGTTAATATTGTATCTTATTCAACTCAGCATAGTTTAGGCGTGACTCCCACATGTGATCAATATAAACAGTAATGAGACAATTTACCTCCCAACAGAACTTTTCACAATGTTGGAAGCGTCCTGTGCCCACACTGCCCATCCTGGCCGCCACCAGCCACAAGTGGCTACTGAGCACTTGAAATGTGGCCGGTGAGAATGAGCCATTGAAATTGTGGATCTCATTTGATTTTTGTTACTTTAAATGGCCACATGTGGCTAGCGGCTGTCTTATTGGCCAGGGCAGGATGCAGAGGTTTCCTCTCCTCCCTCACTTGGTCAGGACCCCTCTCAGGGAGGTTTCTGCAGAGCTCCCAGCCCATCCATCACGTCGGGCCGGCCACCGGGGGCTCTGGCACTGGGGCTCCAGCCAGCACGGCACAGCTCATCTGTCTCTGTGTGGGTGGCTGCCTTCTCTCCTCCCCCCACCAGACATACCGGCCTTGGGGTCCCTTGCGTCTAAAGCAGACTCTCCCCCAGCCAGGACCTGCCACCTCAGACCCCCTGACCCCTGGGGCCCCGCACACAGCCCCCCAAGGCAAGGTCGCAAACCTTCCTGTGTGCGTCTTGGTGATGCTGAACAGACACACTCAGGGCTCCCCTCCCCACCCCCACCCCCCGCCATCCCTTTCATCCCAGCATGCTGCCGCTTCACTGTCAGTCAGTGTCCAGCTGGCAGCACAGGACATGCCACGCTGTCCTTCCTGCTTTGCCCTGGAGCTGCGGTTCTTCTGGCGTCCAGCTGGGTGGAGGGAGGGCCGGCTGAGAACAGCCTGGGCCTTAAGGCCGCCAAGTCGAAGGCAGCCGCCCCTCCACGACTGACTGCGGCCGCCCCGATTCCAAATGCGTGCCCTGTAAACCACCCGCACATCCCTGCACAGGCCAGATTTCAGCACCCGCAGGACGATTTCTTGCATAGTCTGGTGCACACAGACTTTTCACAAGAAGTCAGGCAACCCAGCTCTCGGGTCGAACAGCGCGGCCACGGAACTCAGCAGCTGCTGCCTCAGTCTGGCTCTAACAGGCCACAGGAGCCTTGGGCAACTGGCTCAGCCTCTCTGGGCCTCAGTTTCTCACCTGTAAAATGGGTATAATAATGCCACGGATAGTCCAGCAAATCTGTGGGTCAGTAAGTTAGATGGTTCCTGCCTTCAGGTGGACTGCAGGCTAGACACCATCCAGGGAGGGCGGTGTGGCCCCGGCACCGCAGGGGAGAAGGCCAGGTACCAACTCGTTCACCCCGACACAGGTCATCAGAGTCCCACATGAAGGCCATTTCATTTTAAGTGGCTGTAACTGACATCCCAGGGATGAAGCCAGAGTTCTCTCTCTCTCTTCTTTTTTGTTTAAACAAGGACTTGAAGGTACAGTTAAAGCTGTAAAATGGAGTTATTTCTGTGTCACACAGAGTAGCCTTCCAGCCATATTAATATCTGTTCCGTGACAACAAAAGAAAATACTACACATTTGAGAAATAACACATGATTTTCTTTTGTTGCTATTGCAAAACTGACCGACGCTGCCCGCCCCTCTCTGGGCCCCAGCATGTGTCTGGGAGACGGCTTTGCTGGCCCCTGCCCTCCCTGCCCATGTCCCCACCCAGTCACCACAATGACCTCTTGGACACGTGGGATATGACTACACTGTGTTGCTGCCCCAAACCCTTCTGGGCTGGCCGTCAGCGACTGGACACCACTGAGCCCTGGGCTCAGTCCACCCGGCTCTTCTGAAGCCAGGCCTGTGTCTGGGCCACACCAGCGCCCCCTGCTGTTGCTCTGTGATACTTTCCTGCTCCTTCTGTGACTTCATGGCCACCTGCACCCACATCCACCATGCAGCTACCCTGTTGTCCCGTGGTCATGTACATGTCCACCCTTCACCCACTAAGCCCACTCAGGCAAGGACAGATTGTCCCACATAGGGAGGGGACTGAAAAGACACAAACTGGGAGTCAGGTGAACTGATGTTTGGGGGTTGACTCTGCCACCCATAGCTGGGTGACTTTAGGTCAGGTACTTAACTTCTCTGGACCTGTTCCCTCGGCTGTGATTTGGGGATCAGGATCACTGTATCTATGTTGCAGAATGGGTAGGGAGGTAGCTGAGTGCAAGGCGCCTGTAAAATCAGTGACTAAAAGCTCAGGAAGACCGTGTCCTTCCCAGTGTTACAGGCACCTAGAGCCATGTACACAGTGGATGCTCAGCCAGAAGCTGATCTTCCTTCCAGTCCTGGTTCTCCCGCCAACTCGGACCAGGCGCTCCCCTGCCCCATGTCCCCCTTTCCCCATCTTCAGGATGCACGATCACATCCCAGGGTCATTGTGAGCAGGAAATGAAGTGCAGAAAGGGGCTTCAGGAACTGTGAGCTGCTGTGGGCATGCAAACAGGCCGTCCAGAGTCAAAGCGCCAGTCCCCTGGGCTGGACCTCCGACCAAGGACTTGCTGCCGGAGGCCACGCCCCACCCTCGGGGCCTCCACCCTTAACAGCGTCCTCCTCCCAGCAGCCACAGGGACCTAGCTCCCTCCTCAGCCCAGTCCACCCCCAGATGGAAGGCTGCACTTCTGGCTACTCAGAAACGACGCCCCTCCCCCTGGGAGTGAGGCCCACTGCCTTCCTGGGACGCACAGCCAGCCGGTCCCCCTGTGCGTCAGGGGCCAAGAAACCAGTCCTCGGGGTGGGGGGACCTCTCCCTCGTCACCCACTGTGTACCTGTGAGAGCCCTGGGAGAATTGGGCTCAGGGTCAGCTTCACAGGCGTGTGACCGCTACAGTCCTTTACAGCCCAGTGCTCGGGGGGCTGAACTTGGAGTTTAAGGCTCTGCAGTTGCCATCTTGAAATTCTTAATAACTGCATGTTTGAATGTGTGTTTTGTAAGTGAAGTCGATGGGACTGTGTCTGTGTGTCAGGGACTTGGAACCTCAGTTCAGACAGGCCCCACCTCCTATTTCCATACCACAGGGATGAAATCAGCAAAACCCAGACTGTGGGAAACTATAGGACTGAAAAGGCCCCATCTTTTCAACAAGTAACAATTACAGGGTGGGGTCGTGTGCGGAGACATGGAGTGGAGAAAAGTATAAATGGAAAGAGACTAAGTGGACACACCGACCCTTTGACATGGACTTTATTTGAACCATTAGTCAAACTAACTTTAAAAAAACAGACTAAACATGAGGAAAGATGAACTGTGCACTTAATGATATTGGGGAATTGTTACTAACTTTTAGGTGTGAAAATGGTAGTAAACTTATGTGATTTTGTAAAATATCTTTACAACTTTGCAATACACACTGAAATATCTGAAAGAGAACGAATACTGTATGTAGGATTTGTTCAAACTATTCTGAGGCACAGTGGGAAATTGAGGGGTTTAGGTGAAATACAACAGGCCTTGGTTTGCAGTCATGGAAGCTGGCTGATGGGTATATGGGAATCTACTACCCCAGTCTCTCCTTTTGTGTAAGTTTGAACTTTTGATAACAAAAATGCAGATAGAATTTCTACCTCATAGGGTTGGTCCATTATTTACACATAATGAAATTATGTTTGTAAATTTCTGGGTGTCTAATCAACACCCAATTAAAGTCTGCGGAATAACCCTGGAGATACAGACATGAAATGAGTGGTAAAGTAACAGTGTTTTCCTACAAGCATTCATGAGTTGCTCAACCCACGCATGCGGCAGGGGGTCAGGAAAGAGGTGAGGCCTTGCCTGGTCCTGAGCAAGGACAAGGAAGCCGAGGTGACAGGTGAGACACCAAGAGCCAGGAGATGGCCCTCCTGCCCAGGGCCCAGCACAGACGAAGGCCAGGAGTCGAGACAGGGCGTCTGCGAGGCAGTCTGCGTGTCGGGCAGAGACATCCAGCTAAGAGAAATCTCACACTGGCCACTTGTTAACATTGGCAAGAGGGACTTTGTTCAGGCCACTGTGGTAACAGGGAGAGACTGAGTTCAGAACTGAGCTCCACTGCACGGAACCAAAGGCTTTGGAAACAGAGGGGTGGGCTAAAAAAATGTTGAAGGAGGCTAAGAGGGGGCGGTTTATGCGATTAGGCCATCAGTGTTTGTTCACGGAGCTGATCCGGAGGAGAAACCCTCTTCCCGTCTTTCTGATGAGAGCTCAGGGAGCTGGATGCCCACCGCAGCCAGCGTCACCGCCTCCCTGGGAACTGGGGGACGGGGGGCTTCAGCGCAGATGCCTGCGTCTCACAGCCCGGCTCCCAGGTCCCTGAGGACACGCTCTGGGGCACAGGAGACGTATCTGAAAGAGGCAGAGGAAGGATGTATGATTCCAAGTTTCCTAGAGTAACCGCCCCAGAACAGGGACGTCAGGGGCCTGTGGCAGGTTCTGACTGGAGTAAACAATAAAGTCTTCATGCAGCTTGGGCTTCCTCCTGTGGCGTTAGAGGGGGCCAGGCCATCTAGGGCCCTGGTCTGCAGCTGACAGAGCTGGGCCAGAGCTCAGTCAGGTCC